GTAATTATAGCAATCCAAAGAACAATCCCAAGAGCAGGGATTATAGCTGGTATAGCTGTTCCCTACAAACATGAGATGAGACTCTATGTTGAGGGCAAGCAGGAACTTGTTTATTGGCAGCCACAACTGACCTTATATGCAGGTCCCCATGCAAGGACCTGAGAGGAGACTACAGTAAAAACATACACATTATGATTACATTGGCTCTCAGGTTCAGGACACTACCATATAATATAGGTTAATCCCTCCTCTGTGCCTAGGAGATAATTGAATAAGGACTGTACTAAACTCAGTTATCTCCTTGCACAAAAAAACACACATTTCCCTCTCAAAAAGTACCTAAAAATACATAAAACCCCTTAAAAGTTACATCCCCTGATAGCCCCAATCTGGGTGACCAACACATCCAAAAATCACCCAGATCAGTTCAGGGGTTCAGGATTTTCCTGGAAATCATAATTTGACTGACCGCACACATGGTGCTATGCCCAAAATAGTTACATAGAATCGCGGCATAGTGCCTCTGGGTACCAACAGGGAACCTCAAAGTCTTCATGCTGAAAATAGCTCCAGGGCATTCGCGGCTAAGTCCCCCTGAAGTCTATTCGCGGTTTTGGTCCGTGCGAACGGCTGCCAGGGAGCTAGCGTTCAGTTCTATGTGCACGAATGTAAAGTGCCGAGCCATGGGAACTGAGAGGAATAAATATGGGTCTTTACAGTCGCTGAACTGGTCTATAGTTAGTGGGCAGGAGGCCAGCTTCCACACTCCTCCAGGAGTCCACGGAAAACATCTGTGGAAAGCAGCGTTTGCCACAATATATATATAAAGTGTAGATTGGATTAGCCATATTAGTCCAATAGACAAGATGTCAAAATACCAGAGTATTGCAGTATGCACTGATACCTTTTTTATTGGACTAACATAATATTTCAAAGACAAGCTTTCGAGGGTTTTCCTCTCTTCCTCAGTTCTGAAGAAATACCTTAACTCTATCAGATTGATCAGTAGTGCTTCAGACTTGAAGAAGAGTGGAAAGCTATGTAGAAAGGTGAATATAAGAAAAATGTCAAGATAAAACATTTTTACATTAACAGAATTGTTACTGTCCTCATAATGAAAATAAATACATATATTTATATAATGTATGTACATATTAAAACCAGTAATTAAAATTAAAAGTAGAATCCCTCTTACAGTATTAGAATTTACCACAATAAATGTATATTGTGCATGTTTTACTCTTTTTGGCACATTAATTAGATACTCTCGCTCCAGATGTTGATTTCTAAATGATACAGCCTGAAAACTGATGGTATATTTATTTATTTATTTCCTACAGAGACCAATAAAAAAAAAAAAGACATTGCAGTTTACATGACTGTCTATTCATTAGCATTCCCTAAGTGCATTGTTGCATTCCCAAACCACGCTTATTTGAGAAGAATTCATCCACTTTACTCTGTACATTGATCAATCACTTCATTCAATTCGTTGTTTTCTGAGGCTTGTAGCATTTTACTGGAAAACAAAATTGAGTTAACATACAGAGATGTTCTTATTTCTTCCATGAATTTTGGAAATATGATTAACAATCTGTAGAAATTTGAGCTCAGATTAAAGGTAAAAATAGCAAAATAGTTAATTGTAATTCAACATTCTAAAACCTAGTTGATTTAATAACAGTTTTAATAGTTTTCAATATATATTTATATATATATATATATATAGAGAGAGAGAGAGAGAGAGAGAGAGAGAGAGAGAGAGAGAGAGAGAATACATTGTTAAACACAGATCTCCACACACCAGTCAAGCCACAAGACTTCCCACAGAAATCTCAAATTTGAAACACAACTACAACAAACACAACTCCGCCTCTGCTTCTCCGATGACCATGCTTGCATGAGGACTTCTCCCATTGGAAATAATTATAGAATGCTTTGGGTGACACTAGATATCCTCATGCAATCCGGAAGTCCTTCTAGCTAACCCTGGCAGGTAATTATTAAAAACTGCAATAATTACCTTTGCAGGGTTAAGGGACCTGGGACACTGCGCACAGACCACTTCAATGAGCAGAAGTGGTCCGGGTGCCTATAGTGTCCCTTTAAATATAGAAATCCAGTGCAGTATCTAGTCGGACTAAGCCTGGATGGAACTTGACGTAACAAAATATTTCATGTGTTGCTGTTTTATGAAGAAAACAATAATTAAATATTATACAATAATTATATCTATCAGATGGTTACGACACCTGACTGCTGAATTGTTCCTTTTGTTGTTAAACAAGAGGCATATGATTACCAAAAACATGTACTGCAGAGAGATTTATTGACTAAAGAGGGTATTTTCATTTTCTGTGCCCTTCTCTATATCTAGTTCCAGAAATATATACAAATAACTTGTAACTAAAAGCCACACGCAGCCAGTGGGGAATATCACATGCAATGATGTAACATGTTTATTGTCTTATTCCAATCATTACTTGACAGTGATACAGAGATATTTCAGGCCTGCAACATGAATAGAAACCAACATATGGTCCCAGCGAATTCCTCCACTGAGAGTAAGTTCTTACATTATTCATTAGTATATGCTGAGAAAAATGTATTGTATATCCTGTGGCTTGAAAATTTTATCCTTTCATTTTTTTTCCATGTTGTTAACAGAACTCTTACATTTGTCAATCACTGCGGCACGTTCCTATATAATAACAAATCTATATAAAAACAGCAAGTGGTCAAAGGGTTAACAAAAAAAATCATAATTAAAGCTCCATACCAGGGGCTGATCATTTTTAGATAGGAGTCATTTTGCCCTCGCTCTGTCTGTGATTGGTTAAAAATTCAGAATTGTCCCCCACTCACCCATTGTGCAGCTCGTGGGGAGGGTGACAATTTAGTGACGGCTGATGAGACCCCTAATTATTTGGCAAGGGGGATGGCTGCTTTGATTGGCGTAGGAGAGTGGAGAATGGTCCATACAGGCAGGTGGGTATGCACCCCCCACAGCTTTTTTGCAAAAAAACTCTTAAGTCTATTGACACTATGAGTACTACTGATAAAAGTATGTTAGAAATATGTGTCTGTCTGGATTATACCTGCAGTTTTTATTCTCCCATTTATTGATAACTAGAAATACAGCTGGTTTTGAACAGGGTATCGTATCTCATGGGGTTACGTAGGTAAAGCCAAACCAGTCAGGGAGCAGTGCCCCACCACCTGTAAACATCAGCAGCCAACACTGTTGAAGGGGTGGCAATGTGTGTGTTTGCAGATCCCCTACTCTTTTTCTACATGAAGAGAATTGTTAACACTGTGGCTTTTTATATGTGCATGAAGTCCCCGGGTAAAAAAAAGTCATCGGACAACTACCTCATTTCTTTAATGTACCACCTGTCTATCACTTGCTGTATGCTGAGACTTCAGCTCTCTTATTTTGTAACTCCAGCTCTCCCATCCTGTGACTCCAGCTCTCATATGTTGTGACTCCAGCTCTCCCATACTGTGACACCAGCTCTCCCATACTGTGACTTCAGCTCTCATATGTTGTGACTCCAGCTCTCCCATACCGTGACTCCAGTTCTCCCATACTTTGACTCCAGCTCTCATATGTTGTGACTCCAGCTCTCCCATACTGTGACTCCAGCTCTCATATGTTGTGACTCCAGCTCTCATATGTTGTGACTCCAGCTCTCCCATACTGTGACTCCAGCTCTCATATGCTGTGACTCCAGCTCTCTATGTTGTGACTCCAGCTCTCCCATACTGTGACTCCAGCTCTCCCATACTGTGACTCCAGCTCTCATATGTTGTGACTCCAGCTCTCCCATACTGTGACTCCAGCTCTCATATGTTGTGACTCCAGCTCTCATATGTTGTGACTCCAGCTCTCCCATACTGTGACTCCAGCTCTCATATGTTGTGACTCCAGCTCTCCCAAACTGCGACTCCAGCTCTCTTACGTTGTGACTTCAGCTCTTTCCTGTTGTGACTCCAGCTCTATCATACTGAGACTCTAACTCTCTCATGATGTGACTCCAGCTCTTTTATGATGTGACTCCAGCTCTTTCCTGTTGTGACTCCAGCTCTATCATACTGAGGCTCTAGCTCTCCCTTGCCAAGACTCCAGTTCTACCATGGTGAGAATCCTCTCAATTCCTGCCAAGAGGAAGGAGCTGCTCTTGGCTTTCTACTAATTATTAGGTGTTTAGGGGTATGTTTTACTTCTCTATAGTATATTCAGACAGCTATTAATGTATTTATTTGTAATTTTATTGTCTATTTTAAACTAAAGTTTAGGATTTCTGTGTGAATTCCCCATAATTTGCAGTTTATATCTATACTGTTTGATGAAGCCTTCCGTTATATAAGATCATTAAAAAAAAAAAAGGAAATTAGCTCTCCTGTGTTCTTCCAGGTTCCAGGTTCTTTAGATTTAATAGAGCATCATGAATAGCACAAGTATTTTTTAATCTCTATACCACTACTTTATTGAGCTATGTTCTGTAATTTATCAACCTGTTGAGCAGAGTCTGGAAAGTGACATTTATTTTATCTATTGTGTGTTCATTATAGAACACAACATTGACTTAGAGATGAAATGTTCCAATTTTTCATTCTACAGTAGTCTGCCCAGTTCAGTTTCATTATTCAGTGTTATTTTGAACACATTTCAACATTACTCATTTTTTATTTTATTAAGAAGAAAGGACACACGCACAACCCCGTCCCCCCTCCACATCCCCATCCCACACCCCCTTTAGTGGCCCACACTGCTTGATTAGCACGTAGCCTGCTGTGCATTGACTCCAGGATGACTGGCCTATTCTTATAATGGATCCCTTTGGTTGGTGCCATTGACTAATTTGTGTCACTGGCCACTGTCTCTTTACCCATTTTTTGTCTCTTACCCGCTGGTGGGCATAAAGCAATGCAATAAGGTAGCACAACAAAATATAATTTAAAAAAAAAGAATCATAATTTTCAAATATACAATCTCCAAATACTTTCACTTTGCTTCCTTTACCTTGTTCCATGGTTCCAGAAGTGCTTCACAACTACAAATTCACTCAACTTGATCCAAAAGACATCAAATACTAATGTGTTTCTCAAATGGTTTAGTGGCATCTACTCCTGTGAATGATTCAACGTCAATGTAGCATTTTTGAAACAAGTAACTATTAATCATCCCAGGAAGAGAGATGAAGCGAGGTCCATGGGAATTATGGAACAAGATGTAAGGATATCATTAGTGTGTGTTGAATAGTAATTCAATTCAGTAATTTGTAAGAGATTTATCCCAACAGAACCATCTCCCTCTCCTAAGAATGCTGCAAAACCCAGAGCCAGGTAATTTAGGCTTGGTACATGTGAGTTTAATCATATGGCGTAACATTGCTATTGTTTTTTGTTTTTTTCTTAGGTTTTATGGCAATGTGCAAAAATAAAATATATTAATAATGTGACTTTCCAACAGGTAACACACCTGTGGATAACCTGGTCTGTCATACGGGTTATTGCAAGGCAGAGACCAGGGGATTCAGAAGAATGGTAAATTATACAGCCCCTCCATTGTATAATAGTGTAAGCCTTTCCAAAACCCAAAAAGGCTTTGTTTTGCATATTTGATCTTTTGGATCCACTTTCCCTCTATCCCGTCCCCCCACCCCATACACACTCACTGACAACCACTGCAGGGTCTGTATCTGTGAAAATAGACTCTATTGCTATTTGAAGTTTTCCTTTAGCATATTGTTTAGGAGAGACTATACTATTTGCCTATGTTTGGTGCCTTCTATTTATCTTCACATTTCGGTTTTGGTGGTGGTGGTGGAGGGAACCCCACGATTCTGCTGCCTTGTTTTGATTCACAATTCTGCTGCCTTTTCTTTTGTTTTAACCATAAGTTGACCTAGAACCCATGAGTTTGACAGAGGCCTCAGAACCATAAATTTACTTGGCCCCATCCATCATACCCAATTTGGTAACCTTCCTATGTCCCGGTGGGATCTCAGACCACCATGACTGGCACCAACAATCATTCCATAGTAAACATCTCTTAGATCACATATCTGCCCCATTCTGAATCTATTAACCATGGCTGCGTGCTTTTATGCATTGAGTGGCTGGCATATGCGACTGATTAGGTTCTTGCATTAAGAAGCAGCTCCACAGGTGTGTCTAATAAAGTGGCCATTGAGTGTGTATAATTTTCTAATTGGTCTGCAAGCATGACTAGGGGAAAATATTATATATTAAGACTTTGATGGGATGCTGCCTCTCATTTGAGCACCATTCACCCATCCGGGTGAATTATTATTACTCTTCTTTCCTTCTGGCTTGAACAGGATATTTTTATGTGATTGAGTGTATTAACCCCTTAAGGACACAACTTCTGGAATAAAAGGAAATCATGACAGAATATTTCTGTCATGTGTCCGTAAGGGGTTAATGTGAATAAACTGGTATGTTAATAAGTCATTTAATGTTATTAGTTCAGTGCATTAATGTATCCTAATCAATTAATGTGTTTAAATCAAACCACTCCATCCAAGGTGTTCATAAATTGCTAATCTTCCCATTATTCATTAACCCCTCCATTGAGTGTCCATTTGATGGTTGTGGGAACCTGGGGTAAAGCAGTAAAGTACTACTAGTCATATATAACGGTTAGTGATTATAGCTCCCTTGAGTGCTCTTGGATTGGAGAAGGGAACAATGGCATAATAGTTTGGGTTTGAACCCTGAACCTGAAGCTGACCCACTCATATTGCTGTTAGAATAATTACTTGTCCAAAAGAAATAAAATTTTTGTTCTCTCATTGCACGATGCTGGCAATCCACTTATTCTCCATTTAGTAAGCGTTGCTGTTCAGTTGAGCATTTCCAAACATTTGTCATGTTTAATGTCAATCTGTAATGTTCTTTGGCATTGTTTCTTTGATCTGCAAAAAATACAGACAGATCATTTCAAAATAGGAACATCATTCAAGGATGTCTTTTTAAACAAACTATTCATAGCAATGAGACAAAGAAGAATAGCCCTCTTAAAGCCAAGTTATCCAAGAATGAACTAGATAGACAGGGAGGCATGGATAAACAGATGGGTGGGTGGATGGATGCGTGGATGGGTGGATGTATAGACGGATGCGTGGATGGGTGGACGTATAGACGGATGCATGGGTGGATGGATGTGTGGATGGGTGGATGGTTGGATGGGTGGATGTATGGATGGATGCATGGGCGGATGGGTGGATGGGTGGATGGATGGATAGGGGATGGATGAGTAGACAAGGGGTGTATTGATGGATGGATGGTTGGAAAAATGGCAGATTCTGATTGTCACATTAAAAGTAAGCGTAATTTTATTATTTTGGATTTATTGTTACTGAATCGAAAATAGGTCAATTCCAGTCTGGCGTGCCCTCTAAATTCAGTTATTGTGACCAGAATGACATACCAGAAGAGTGACTCGGAAGAGCAAGGCAATACAATTCTTTCTCTTCCAGTATATCTTTGATAGGGGGTAGTCCCTTTAAGGACAGCAACTGCAAACAGTAGCTTCTGTTTGAAAGTGTAACTCCCACCAATCTTTGCCAGAATTAGACCTGTATACCAAAGTTTTGTCTAAAAGTTAATAAAAAAAACCCTAATCCTAGCCCATACAAAAACTTAAAAAAAATAATAATTTATGTAAATAATACATAATAATTAAGTGTGAATTAAAAAAAAAAATTGCCATTTTTGGGTTTTGGATATTCATAAACCACCCAACCTTCAGTCTTGTGGGTCCAACAACTTCATCACATTTTTTTAACCCTTACACTTTTTAACCCTTTTTTGTTTTTTCATGTATGTATTACTTTATTAAGTACATTGTATGCTGGATAATTATGAAGCCAGATGCACTATTTGTTTATTTTTATTTTTAAGTTACTTTTAGGATTTCATTTCTTGACTAGTTCTCCATTTATTAATTATGGATATCAATTTGAGGCCTTAGTCAATTAACTGATTCAATATTATGAAACATATTTTAATTCTGGAATATGTTTATATACTGATTTTTTAAATATGTGATACATATTAAATATATATTATATTATATTTTTGATATTTAAAATGTTGAATCAAAAATCATTTTAAACATTTGTCCAAAAATATTAAACTGAGGCCTAATTTGGACCATTTAATGGTTATTACAAGTCAGTGAAGAGAATGCAGCGTGTTTGTTCCATGTCAGCATGGCCCTTTATTTATTCAATTTGCAAGTTAGCAAATACATGTATTTTCAACCAAATCAATCCCTCCAAATTGCTATAACATTTTTACAGGTCTTAAAGTTACACTATAGTGTCAGGAACACAAACACATAGTGGTAAAATAACTGTTTAGGTCTCTACCCCCCCCTTGTCTCCCTTTGAAAAGGTGATTTTACTCACTTTTTCTCTCGTGCCGTGCCAGTCTCATTGCAGCTGGCTCCATCTCTATGGCTTAAATCATCAAACTTGAAAATCTCAGCCAATCCAATGCTTTCAAATAGGAAAGCAGTGGGAGGCTATTGTGTATGCGTTAATTAGCATCTCCTCTTAGAGATGCATTGAATCAGACGCTGAATTCCAATGCTGCACACTTTGCAGCACTAACCCAGGAAGCACCTCTAGTGCCCTTCTGAGTGACAGCCACTAGAGGTGTACCTCGGCAGCAATGTACATACTGCCTGAAAAGGCATTAAAAATGTATGTATGGACAGGCTATAGACACCAAAACAACTACATTAAGCTGTAGTTGTTCTGGTGACTATAGTTTACCTTTAAGTTACCTAAAATGTGCAATATTTATCTCCTTTCAGTACTTAGCTTACACAGAATAGCAGCATAGTTGGAAATACTTCAATCAGTGTCACTCCCCTGGAGAGAAGAAAATAGTCGAAAGACAGATTTCAACAGCCCTGGTTTATTAAACCCCCAGATGACTCATCATTCAGTCGTAGCGTGTATCTTATACTGGTTTTTCCATGTGTGTTTTGTATTTTATTAAAACCTTTACTTCTTTACAGATCAGAAAATCATTACTTTCAAGTACTAGGGTAGATCTTTTTGAAGTGAAGGATTTAATTCTTCAACATACTGTAATTTCGTTAAAGTATAATTCCTGGGATCAAAACCACTTTATAAATGATACATTGAAGCTGCCTTAATGATCATAGCTAGTCAGCATTTTTTTTTTAAATTACTTGAGTCTCACCAGTTATAGAAATCGACAACGTTTTAGGGTGTGATGAGCGATGTTTAAAGTTGGTTTAATTAAAGGAAACGTAGCATCATTTTTTTATTATTACTTAAATAAAATATTACATGTAATATATACTCGGTGTCTATTTTTTTTTGTAGTGCAAACATGTATATTAATAGCTTTTTTTACGCTGCATCTCCTGTCTTACTGTAGATTTTTGGGGAAAGCCATCTTTAAAGCAATACTATAGGCATGAAAAGAACTTTAGTTTAAAGATGCAGTTTTCTTGTATAGATCATGTCCCTGCAGTCTTACTGCTCAATTGTCTGCCATTTAGGAATTAAATCTCTATTGTCTGTGTCCATGCAGCCATAGGCACACCTCCCCTAGCTGTGACTCACACAGCCTGCATGAACAAAATGATTTCATATTCAATCAGATGTTAACTCGTTTTAGATGTTTTTATCTCATGTTCTATAAATTGAACTTTAATCACACACAGGAAACTCCTTAATGGTCTAGCTTGCTACTAACAGAGCAGGAGATAATAAATTCTAAAATAAACAGAATATGCAGTTTAAACATTATATGCCTCTTTACAGGAAGTGTTTAGGAAGACTATGTGAGTCACATGCAGGACTAGGGCTATATACATCGGCATGATCTGTACACCAAAACTGCTTCATTTAACTGAAGTTGATTTGGTGCCTATTGTATCTCTTTGTTTTCTTTGGTTGGAAGCACACTTTTTTCAATCATAATTTATGAAGATAAGCTTTTGCGGTCATCAAGGAACTGTTCACAAGAAGCATAGCATGAGCTCATCAGTATATGCCCTCACAGTATGCTCAGGACAATAGGACCCTGTAGAGAACACCAACCAGCCTGGATGATGGACAGTCAGTATGGCGTGCAATCACAAAATAAAAATAAGAAAAGCCTTAACACAAGCCTTTTATTCCATAAAGAGTGGACCCAGCAATGTTTTCACATGTAAAGTGCACATAAGCAATGCTGCACCTTAAAGTCAAACCATGGAAGTCATAACGTGCTCAAGAACAACCATCCTTCATTAAAGGTAAATAACAACTTTATGACCTGTTTTAAAGTATCTATTCAGATTAACCTAAAAGCCATTCTTAAAAACAAGAATATTGACACCTCGATGAGCTTCT